CACTCACAGCTGACAGACATCTGCCTCGTTTCCATTTTTTGACTGTTACGAATAACACTGCTGCGATCATTTTGGGTGGACATAGGTGTTTGGATCTCTTGGGTGGTTCTTAGGTTCTCTTGGGTACATACGTAGGAGTAAAATTGCTGAGTTGAGCTCTGGTGGTGTAGTACCTACGGCATGTGACTACTAACCAGAAGGCTGGTGGTTCAAACCCACCACCCGCTCCTCGGAAGGAAGCTTGGGCAATCTACTTCATAGAGATACCACCCCGGAAAGCCAAGGAGGGGTTGCTATGAGTCGAAGTGAGTTTGATGGTTTTTTTTAAGGTAACTCAAAGGAGCCCTGGTGACACAAAGGTTTAAGTGCTCAGCTGCTAACCGAAAGATTGGTGGTTCAGAAGCCACCCAGTGGCTCCACAGGAGAAGGCCTGGCAATCGACTCCTGTAAAGATTACCGCCAAGGAAACCCTACGGAGCAGGTGTGCTCTGTCTCCCAGGGTCACTATGAGTTGACGTCAGCTCAGAAGCACCTAAAACAACACAACGTTAACTATATATAAGAGAAACAATCCTTTAATATGGTACTTTAAAAAACAAAACATGAATGCTGAAACATCTTTTAATTAAAGACAGGCTGCTGCTGTCTGTCTGTTTTACGGCTTCGTGTTTCCTACAGAGAGCTCTAGTGGCACAATGGGTAAAGAATCCGGCTGCTACCCAGAAGGTCAGGAGTTCGAGCCCACCAGCTACTCTGCAGGAGAAAGATGAGACGATCTCTTTCCACCTTGGAAACCCTATGGGGCAGTTCTACTCTGTCCTCTAGGGGCACTGTGAGTCAGAATCAACATCACGGCAGTGGGTTTGCTTTGATCTTGGTCTTACTCTGCAGTGGGAACCGCCATTTCCAATTAGACCATGGTTCCTGGGCTCATGTTAGTTTAGAGGGCTGACAGTGGCATGTGAATGGATCAGACAACTCAGGGTTTTATATAAATCACTTTTTTTTTTTTTTTTTTCAATCCTGTAAAGCATTTATTAGCTTTCTCTGCTTGGTTCAAAGTATGGGAGGATTTTTAGTCAGTAAAAAAAAAAAAAAAAAAAATGACCGGGTTTGCTGGTCTGATAGAGCCTGGTGGAATCCCTGAGACTATGGCCCCTAGCTGCCCTTCAGGTCTGGAATTGAACCCACTCCTGGGGCTTCCAGCCAAACAAAAGACAGGCATATGAGGTGAACATGTACCTGAGGTAGGTACACTTCTTGGAGAGAACAATCATGGGAGAAGAGAAGGGCTGTGTATGCACAGGGAGACAGCTCAGGGGACAGGAGTGCATGGGAGGGAAGGACACAGGGAAGTAACTATGGAGAGGAAGTGGGAAAGAGCTGTTGCATTGTGGGAAATTGCAGTCAGTTTCATGAGAAAGTGTATGTGAGCTATTGTATGGAAAGTGAATTTGCTCTGTGAACTTTCACCCTAATCACAATAAAAATTTTTAAAAAAAAGTGTGGGAGGATTTTTAGATAAATATATATAGGAACATACATATTCCCTTTTGCCTCAGGCCCTATTGTGGCTTAGCACGGCCCTGACCCACCGGCTTCCTGCCATCTCGGTATCCCCGGGCAACCATTCTGTAACCACTCTGCCAAGGTTAAGATGGGGGCGGGAGACTTCCCGAGGTCCACAACTAGTTGTGGCAGGGCCGAGATTTGAGCTCAGGGTTGAGACAGAGGCCCACCTCTTCACCATTATGCCTCTCAGGAGTTCAGAATTTGTGTGGCCAAGAGAAAGTCACTTAACCACTGGGAACATCCATCTCTTCTTTGGGAAGGTGAACATTACAATACTTACATCCATAATGCATTTGCCTCCCTTCCCTGGAAGTGCTTGCCTGAGCTGCCTGTTGGGGCCATATGATGAAAACCACTGAGTGAAACTTGTCCTTGTGTGTGCTATCGGAACTTGCCATGTTTCTTCATGTCCCTCAAAGGAAGCCAGATGTCAAAATTTTATTTTAGAGCTAAGGGATGGAAAAGTCATTTGTTTTCCCCAAGAAACAAGTGTGTTTTCTTCCCATGGACAATGAGAAGAATGGAACTGATCATGTTTCCCTCTTTACTTTGGCCAATGGGAAACACAATGGCAAGTTGGTGACTCTAAAGAAACAGGTTCTTGCTTATTTGTGTTTTAATTTTCCCTGTGATGTACAATTCCTCTTATAATTTGTATTTCTTGTCCTGATGGTTAAATTTTTATTTAGATTTTACTGTTTTATCATGTTTATTTCCTGATGGTGACCTAAATCCTTTATACAACATGTCAAGTAGAAATACATTTTCTAAAACATTATTTGTTTAATGAGATTATACACAGCAGAACGTACACCCGTTCAGCAGTTCCCATGCTTGGGTCAGTGACATGGGTGACATTCTTTGAGTTATGCCACCATCTTCACCCTCCTTTCCTGAGCTGTCCCTCTTCCATGACATAAATTCACTTTCCCCAAAGGCTCCTGTCTAATCTTTCTGTTCTGTTGCTGTTCTCAGTTGATCTCATGTAGATAGTTCTTAAAGGAGCTCTGCCTAAGGCATTTGACTGCTAACCAAAAGGTTGGCGGTTCAAACTCATCAGCCACTCTGTGGAAGGAAGACTGGGCAATCTACTTCCTTAAAGATTTACTGTCCCGGAAAAGAAAAGGGGGTTGCAATGAGTCAGAGTTGACTCGATGGCAGTGAGTTTGGTTTTTTGGTTTTTAGATAGTTCTTAAAAGAGTGTAATGCGCAAGGCAGGAATTCTTATGATCAAACGAATCCATTGAGCTAAATTATCATTTGGTTTTAAGTGTACTTCAACTGATATTTTTGGTTTGTGTTAAAGATTATCTTAAAGAAATAGTTTTGGGAGTTCATCTAGCTTCCATGGATCTAGAAATTATAAAGTCTTTGAGAATTTGAAATTCTGTTCTGCATTTTACCCCCTTTTGATCAGGATTCTTCTGTAGAATCTTTGGTCAGAATGCTCAGTGATGGTAGCTGGGCACCATCCAGGTCCTTTGGTCTCATGGTAAAGGAAGCACTTGTTTATGGAGGCAACTGGCCACACATTTCAATTCTTCCTTCTCTTCCTAACTCTCCTTCTAACTTTGCTGCAAATAGGGACCAATCTTGTGCTTTGAACGGATGTTTAAAAGCTTTTAAGACCCCAGGCACTACACAACGGACTAGTAGGTAAACCCACCCAAAATCCCACTGCCACTGAGTGCATTCCAAATCATCCCAACACTAGAGGACAGAGTACAACTGCTCCATAGGGTTTCCAAGACTGTAAATCTTTACAAAAGCAGACAGCCTCATCTTTCTTCCGCAGAGTGGTTAGTGGGTTCAAACCACTGAACTTTTGGTTAGCAGCCAAATGCTTTAATCACTCTGCCACCAGAGTGCCTTAAGAGGTGGAACAGAGGCACTAAACATGTTATTAGTCCAGTTACCTGGGATGTCCCATGAAACCGTGACCTAAACCTCCAAACCAAGGAGCCAAATCCCACAAGGTTTTTGGTTGTACATAAACAGACTCAGCAGCTACTCTTTTTTTTTTTTTTTTCTGTTGTAAAGAAATACACTTTTCTGAGAGCTGGCCATTGCTTGGCATGCATTTGGGCTGATTGATATTCTCACCTGAGACACGGTGGGCAGCACCACTGGAGGAACCCTCTGCGCCCCTGCTCCAGGCATGGCGACCTCTGGCTGAGCCTGGCTGGGCAGCGGAGCTAAGAGGTGGCTGGGGGACTCAGTGTGGCTATTCCCCACTGTTCCATGCTGCACCTCTGCTTCACGGCTCAGCCAAGCTCTCGTTTTCTCCAGCGCTCTCACAGCGGTGTCCCTGAGGGTCCCCAGGAGGACCCCTCCCTGTCAGAAGTCATACTCCACAATCCCCATGGGAATCCACAACCAACAGGTCCAGCCTTTGGCTGTGTGTGTCACATGGCTTCGGAGCCAGTCCGGTGCCAAACTGGAAGGCATCTTAAGGGCCTGCCTCCCACCTTCGTTTCTGCCCTTTCTCCTTTACAAGGTGGCCTCCACTGCCCTTCAAGGCTTCGTTATTGTCAAGATGCCCTGGGCCCTGGGCATTTCCTACTCAGTGACCCGTGTGTCAGAGCAGAACTGCCTCGTAGGGTTTCCTAAGCTGTAATATTTGGGAGAACAGACCGCCAGGTCTTCTCCAGTGGAGCCACTAGGTAGCTTCAAACCGCCAACTTGTTGGTTAGCAGCCAAGGACTTAACTGTTGCACCACCAGGCTCCTTTCAGCCAAGATGATGGTGGTGGTATGTGCTGTTGAGTCCATTCCAACGGACTAGAACTGCCCCCTCGGATTTCCTGGCCTGTAATCCTTCCGGGAGCACATCTCCTGGTCTTTTCTTCCAGAGAGCCACTGTGTGGGTTCAAACTGCCAACCTTTCGGTTAGCAGCAGAGGACTTAACTGTTGTGTCACCAGATGACTTATTCCTTCCAAGGGTATTTACAGTTTCAGTTAAACCCTCCTGGGAAGGGCACTGCTTAACCCAAAAGAATGGAGGGTGAATGGTGGAATTTCACACCTTGTGTTTTGCTTCACTGGTGGGGGGGTGGCAGGTGTTTAAGGGGACAGGGAATCTTCCCAGGGGACATCAGCGTCAGATAGGCAGCTGCCTTCTAGGTTCTCGACTTGATTGTCAAGCAGGCGTTTACCAGCAGGGGCTGGGAAAGGGGAAGGGGTCTGGGGTCCCACCCACTCCAGTGAGGACATCTTTCTCAGTTCCTTCTTCCTAAGCCTGGACTCTGTCTCTGGTGATCCCACCATCCACCATTTCCTGAGAGCATGAGAGGGCGGGAAGGTTCCTCTTCCAGGGAGTGGTCACCCACCCCACTTAGCAAACCACGACCCCCTTCCTGGGGCCAGGGAGCCACTCACCAGCTCATCGGGAGGGTCTCATACTCAGCGCCTCTGCCTCCTCCTCCTAGGCAAGCCCTATGGGGCCGACGACTTCCTGCCCGTGCTGATGTACGTCCTGGCCCGCAGCAACCTCACGGAGATGCTTCTCAACGTGGAGTACATGATGGAGCTCATGGACCCCGCCCTGCAGCTGGGGGAGGGTGAGTCACCACACTGGGCCCTGCCCAACTACCTGGGCGCTGCACACTCCCCAACCCACCCACACCAGGGAATGCCAGCCAGTCCGACCAGCACCTCCTGGGTGCTAGATTCCTGCTGAGCTCTGGGGACATGGGGGCTCACAGACTGGGGACTGGGGGAGGCGGGCCGGTAAACAGACGATGATGCCACTGCTCCACAAATGTGGGAATGATGCTGCTCGGGGGGGACGGGAGCACCTTACCCAGGCCGTGCAGTCAGGAAAGGCTTCCTGGAGGAGGTGACACCTGAGCTGAGTGTTGAAAGATGAATAGGACCAACAAGATAGAGAAGGAGAAAGGTACTCTCTGCAGAGATAAAGGAGGAGCTGAGAGTGTGAAGACTGAGGCTGAAGCAGTGGGCAGGGGCAGTGGGGGTGATGATCAGCTCTGGGTCAGGGAGCCCCCGGGGACACTCAGCCATCCGCTTCTCCAGCCCTGAGCCAGGGCCTGCGTCAGTGGGGAGAGGCTAATGATGGGGGCAAAGGGATGAAGGCAGAGGTGCGGCTCGCCACCCCGCCCTCAGTTTCCCTTCCCCTTTCCTCCTTCCCACCACTTCCCCCGCCCACTTAGCCTCAGCCACGCTCTGTCAGGAGACTCCTGGGCCTGTCGTCCCTGGTCCAACCAGCCCAGATACCAGCTTGGAGGGCGCCCCCGTCATATTCTGAGACACCAGCCTCGAAGGACAGAGCAAGTCTGTCCCCTGTGGGCCTTGTGGTTCCTGAGCGCTTCAGTCCTCTTTGCATCTGTTTGCATTTTTAGCATGCACAGTCCCTGGGGTGACGGTGTGACACAGATGGCTGTGTGAGTTCTTGGCAGCCCAGAGGAGCGTAGTAAGGCTGTGAAGTTTCCTATCATCTATAACTTTGGCTTGTAGCTCTGGGACCTCCAAACCAAAACCAAACTCACTGCCATTGAGTTGGTTCTGACTCAAAGTGACACCCATTAGGTTTCCAAGGCTATAAGTCTTTACAGAAGCAGACTGCCTCATCTTTCTTCTGAGGAGCAGCTAGTGGGTTTGAAGCACTGACCTTTTGGTTAGCAGCCAAATGCCTTAACCACTACACCACAGAGCTCCTTCTGAGACCTCTAGGAGCTATGTTTTCTCCTCTTTAATGAAAATTAATTTTTCTGCATTTGGGACAGCCTGTCTTCCAAGAGATCCAGGAATCCCAGAGAAGCTAGGCTTCCTTCAGCAGTGGTTATATGCCACCCAGTGCATGCATGCATCCACCCACTGTCCACTTACCCACCCACCCAGCCATCCTTATCAATCCAACCATCCATCCATCCATCCACCCACCCATCTACCCATCCAACCTTACACCTGCCCCCATACACTTATCTGACCACTCACCCACCCATCCATCCATTCATCCATCCATCTGCCCATCCATCTGTCCACCCATCCATCCATCTGCTCATCTGCCCGTCATCTAGCCATCCACTTGTCCATCCATTTATCTCTCCATCC